AAGTATTGCTTTAAAAGAAGGTTATTATTAATGCAAACTTGATGTTGCCTGTATTTCTGATAAACAAAAATAAAATGTTAAAAGCCTAAGGGTGCCAGTGTGCATTTAAGACATGAACAGGGGGATTGTGATGAATAATAGAACCAGTTCTTGCCTGGTTACATAGAGACTTGTTTTACTTTGCTTATCCAGAGTTTGATACAGTAATTTGAATTGAACAGCCATAAATCAGACCTGGGACCCCTTTCTGTTTGTGGATTATATTATGCTATATGACATTGAAATCTGGGAATTCCTGAGTAGAGGGAGAGAAAAATTTTGGCATTAGTAGTACTTGGTACTAGGTTAAATTTTAAATTAACACCTGTATCTCTTAAGTAAATTGAATCTCTAAGTTGCTGATTAGTATATGACTATTTGGCCAAGAACTTGGCCTTTAATATCCCATCAGACTCTGAATATTTTTGAAAACCAAAAATACAGCCAAGGAACTGTTATGTTAAAAGATTTATCATGATTTGAGTTGTCATAGAAAGTATCATAAAATAGTTAATTTTAAAAATAGATTTTTCATTTGAAACTCAATCTCTAGCTTTTTATTAGGGGAAAAATAGCTTTATGCAAATGTATCTTTCTGTTTTGTTATACATTTTGGAACATTTTTGTTTTTTCCCTGTAAATTAATATTTTGGTTATATTAAAAAATAATTGTTTTTCATTAGGTTATTCTTGGACACTATGATTGGCTCTCCTATGAAGATGTCTTTGTTCGAGCCCTTAATTTTGGAAATGGCTTACAGATGTTGGGTCAGAAACCGAAGACCAACATTGCTATCTTCTGTGAGACCAGGGCCGAGTGGATGATTGCAGCACAGGCGTGTTTTATGTATAATTTTCAGCGTATGTAGGCATTCTGATCTTTTAAAGACTTAACACTTTTTATTATAACACTACACTCTGGAAAGGTTAAAATCCTGATGTTAATTTCTACCTTGTGCCTGATTAGTGGGAGACTCTTTGTTAAGACTTGGAATTTTGGGTCTATTTTGGAAAAGGAATTAGGTACATAACAAATTGTGCCAGTCAACGTAGTGAGGGGGCTTGACCCTGTTATTAGGGGACTTTCTAAGTCTGGGAAACTCGGGTACACTTAGGCTCATTGCTCTGCTGCCATTCTCAGGAGTTCCCTTTTGAAGTTACTGTCATTTTGTTATGTTATTTCTATCAGTAAGGGCAGTTGACTTCGGAAATACTTCCATGCTTAAATCTGGTGAACTTCAAGGTACTAGGTTAGATGACAGAGAATTGTAATGTAATTATCTAAGCGGTAATCATGATGGCTCAATCTGTGAGATAGTCTGGGAACCGTAAGTTCAGAGGCCTTGGTACTAAAATATTTATTGTAATTGTGGATGCTGTCTTGCCCTTCAAATGAGACAGAAATATACTTTTAGCTGATTTCTTGCTGTGAATGCCATTTTCTTTTAAATAAGCATACCTTATTTATATTTGCATTATGTTTCTTTTGAGAAGTTTTAAACATTGTCATAGTTTTCAAAAGTCATTTTATGTCTGTCTTTTTTGAATTTTACAGAAATTAAACAAAAATTCGAATTGTTCATATTATGTAATTTCAGCATTTCTCAGAACGTTTTTCTTTGGCTATTTCTGCTTTAGGATAAGCAGTGCTGCCACTTGTTTCTGCTCTTGTCTTGACATACAATAACTTAAATCTGACATTCACCTAAATCTGACATTCAGTGTGTTATTTTATTGCTGGATATCCAAGTAGCCAGCAGGATTTTGAAATTTTAGAAATCAGTTATAATTCCTTCCCAGTGTGATAATCTCAGAGTAATATCATATATAAAACAAAATTTTTAAAATCTTCATTTTGAAATATTAGAAATCTTGGGGAACTTAGGGGAGGGTGAGTAGATTGATTAGATTGATTGATTAGGATATTAAGGCAATTTTTAAAAATGCAACCCTTTTGTAGACTATGGATTTAACAATTTAGAGTGCAGAGTGCTCCATGGGATTCATGACCACTTTCAGAGGCTTTGTGGACATTTAGTAGTTCATGAAATGTTGGAATATTTGACTTTCTGCTGCTTTTCCTTGTAGTTGTTACATTATATGCTACTCTCGGAGGTCCAGCAATCGTTCATGGATTGAATGAAACAGAGGTGACCAACATTATTACTAGTAAGGAGCTCCTGCAAACAAAGTTAAAGGTGAGGACTGTACTTCTTTATAACTGCCCAATACTTCAGAAGTTTTGGTTATGAAAGTTCTATTACTGATATTTGGTTCTTTTATGACTTAGACTAAATCCTTAATACCTTTTACATTTTTAAGAATATCATACTTTATTCCTTTCTTTTAGAAGATAAAAAAATGGATTTCATATGTATTCATGTATAATTAGGTCAGAGTTATAAATTATTAATATGCCTGTGTTTAAATTGAAGAAATTATAACTACATTTTCTTTTCTTGTATTCATTTATTTTCTAGTCTACTTTTAGTAAAGTTGTAATATTGAAGGATTAGATTTTAAACTTGTAATTCCTTGATTTTTTTCTTGAGGTATTTAGGAATTAAGAGTTTTCAGAATTTTTTATAAGTTAAAAGGAGATATTTCATGAAATTACAGGAAAAAGAGGCGTCTTCAGGTCTCCAGACACTTCTATCTAGGCTGTTCTTTTTTTTAAAACAAGTTCACATGTGAATTCTTTTCTTTTCCCCGTAAGTTTTATTTAGTCTCCAGAAGACACATTTTTGGTTCCTCTTTGTTCAGGCAGCCTGTTTGCGTGCCCATTTTGTAGTGTAGTACCCTGGAGGATTAGGATTTTACTGAAGAACAGGAGTGCACACGGTAAATCTAATGCTGTAAAACAGTAATGAAACTCAGACCTGTGTTTCTTCATGTGAACAAGTGGTGGTAGACCAGTGTACTCTCTCCTCTTTCTTTTTTGAGGCAGGAAATTACTTTAATAATTGACTGACTATTAAGCTACTGTTCTTGTGTCCTGAACTATTTGCCTGACTGTGATGAACATGGTGCATGTTTGTGTGTCTCTAGGATATAGTTTCTTTGGTGCCACGCCTGCGGCACATCATCACTGTTGATGGGAAGCCGCCAACCTGGTCTGAGTTCCCCAAAGGTGTCATTGTTCATACCATGGCTGCGGTTCAGGCCCTGGGAGCCAAGGCCAGCGTGGGTATGTCACACTTTCCAAATGTCTTATGTGACCACTTTGTGCCAGAATTATGCCAGAGTTTTGATCTTAACGTTAGATCAAGGGACACAGCTGGGAAAGTAACTGGTCCCCCTAGGTCTACTTTTATTTAGCCTTTAAAGAAAGGTCTAAGGAAATGCAAGTATTTTAAAATAGTATTTATGTAAAATTAATTTAAAATACTTTATCTTTAACATTGTTCGGTATTCTTGTTTCCATTTTCTGATAATTTTGGGTGGTTTAAAGTTTGTTTATAAATAATGCCTTTAAACTTTTCCTGTGTGAATTACCTGTAAATGTCAACAGACACAGTGGCTAAACTTGGTGGCCTCTTTTTTTTCCTTGTTCCTTTTCCAGAAGGGACAACCTTATCACCCAGCTCATACATCTAGGCGTCGTGACTCTGAAGTATCACTGCGTGTTAGAAAGTATACAGGTATTTAGAGAGACTGCAGAAGCTGCTAGGAGGCTGGCGCTGAGTTGTTCTCTGTAGTTGGAAACTTAGTGATTAACTGGATGTCAGTAATCACTGGGCTCCAAAACAGGGATATGGGGATGTTAAATTTGGTAACATTGGATTTTATGTCCTGATGGATATTTATATGTAGATATGTAGTAAGCAGTGGCACGTACAAGTCTGATACTCTGGAGTCAGTTTGGAAGCCCCAGAGGCCACTGAGATCCATGTAGGGTGTGGTTTATGGAAGTCAAGAGAAAGGAGATGTTGGTGAGGCATGAGCAGGGTCTGGTGTCAAGGTCAGGTGCCACAGAGGTTACAGTTTCCAACAAGTGTTGTGTGCTGAAGGTGTGAATGGCAGATTTGAAAGCAAAGACCTCCAACTCAACAAGTACGTTTAAATAGTTAGGAGAGAAAGGGTATCCTCTTAGAAATACATTTAAAGAGTTTTTCACACTTTTTTTAGCAGTCCAGATGGAGGTAGTTCTGAGAGAAGTTCAGACAGATGAAACATGCCATCCGTGACTTCTCCTTGTCCTTCTGCTATTTCACCTCTCCGCCTCGTCAGCTGTCCTGCTTAGGCTTGCGTTCTTATGATGGCAAATGGGATTACACTGTCTTTTAATCCGGGACTTTTGGGTGTAACCAAGTTAACTTCGCCACTGTGAAGCAGTTTTTAGCAAATATCTAGGTACTCTGTCCAAGGTATTATTTCTTAGTCAGTTGCATTACTGGGATTCTTTTTTCCCTTACTAAAGTTACGTAGCCACATAGCACCAAAATGATCCTTTGACAGGCGGTGACGTGTCTCTGTTAAAAACAACTTGGCTTTTCATCCAGAGTGAAATCCAAAGTCCTGACTCTGGCCTTTGTGGCCCTGTGTGTGGTCCTGGCAGCCGCGTCACTGTCACTGCTTGTCCTCCTGCTGCACGCTCCCTCTTGGGACGAGCCAGCACGTTCCTCCTTGGGGTCTTGGTGCTTGTTTGCTTCACTTGGGACACTCCTCTCCCGCAGTTGGGGTTTTGTAGCTCCCTTCTGACTTTATTCAGGTCTTTGCTGAAGTAGCTACGGTCGGGGAGGACTTCCCTGCATTTCCCATCTCCACACGTGTACGATAGTCCTCTCCCTTTGTCTCGCTTCAGTTCTCTTTGTAGATTGATCTGTTTTCTGTCCTAATAGGATGTGTTTACCTTCTGTGTAGGGACGGGGAGTGTTTTATTGACCTCTCTATGAGTATAATTAATGTTTATTAAACTGAGTTAATAAATGATTATTAAAAAAATTGGTGATGTGGCTGAATGTGTCAATAGTGTGCTTGGCTTTTTCTTTGCTTTTTCTTCAATACAGAAAACCAACCTCGTAGCAGACCGTTGCCCTCAGACATTGCAGTGATCATGTACACAAGTGGATCCACAGGACTCCCAAAGGGAGTCATGATCTCACATAGTAACGTCATTGCTGGTATAACTGGGATGGCGGAAAGGATTCCAGGACTGGGGTATGGCACAGGGACGTAGCACTGAGTAGTTCAGTATTTATGTCTGTTGTTACAGTGTGAACATTGTGTCACTTCAGTAGTATATGGTTAATTATTCTTTCAGAGTTTGCTTATAGTAGGCATTTCATTTAAAAAAGTACATTAAAATTAATTTCAAAATAGTTACAGTTGTGAAGTTTAAAATAAAGTTAATAATTTTTAAAATACAATTTTTTAAAAAACTTCTGATATGGAAGTTTATAATGTGTAAATTTTAACTATTTATAGTTGTAAAGCTTTTAATTTAAATTATCTCAATTAGCTGTCATTATTGCCTTGCTAGTCATTTTTATATCTAAATATAATTCAGGGGAACAGATAACATAATCTAGTAAATAGTCATTGAGCTTCTGTATTCAGTCTCTTCTCTTCTTTTTCTTTTTAAGACAAGCTTCAGTGGTAGCAGGGGAGGGTGTAGTGGGGTTGGAAAAAGACTGATGGAAGAAACCAAGTGGAAGTTGGAGGAATTATTAAAGAAGCATTCCCAGAGATGAGATCAGTATTATGATAACTGATGTGGTACAGTGGTTGGATATTTTTGATGCCTTTATGCCTAAAAATCTCTTGTTCTCACACACACACACACACACACACACACACACGGTTACTGTGGGATTGATTTGGGGATGGAGACAGAAATTTTTCATTTATACATTTCAGGAAAAATGTTTCAGCAACTGTTTCCTTATAGATTTGCCTCAGTTGTCTTCCATATATTGGATATTCTTGAAATACACATACTTTTTTTATATATTAAGATCTAATTTATTATTTGATCCAACTCCCAGAACAGGAGTCCCTTCTGCAGAATTTCTGGCAGAGCATTGTGGGTTCTATTTGAACTATTCTGTTTGGCAGTGCACTAGATCTAAAGACTATTTCCTACTTGGATAATTTCTTTTATCCTTCAAGTAAGCCCCCCTTTTTTCTCTCAAGCCCCTATTTCTTCTGGCTTAACACTTTGCTCCTGTAGCGCTCATAATTCATGAGTGCCTTCAAGTAGGACAAGGAACAGAACCTCTTCCTGAGGGGGCCTGCCACCTGACTTGTAGGCTGAGTTGGGGTTTTTCTTTTGCTGTGTGTTTCTATGTGTCTGTCTAACTCTCTGTCTCTCTCTCTCTCTCTCTCTCTCACACACACACACACACACACACTCTCTCTCTCTCTCTCTCTCTACACAGCAGAGACAGGGGCCTGAGGCCTTTCTGTGTGCCTTCCCATTTGTCTCCTGCAGAGACAGCACCTGACCTTTGCTTTTCTTCCAGAGAGGAAGATGTCTACATTGGATATTTGCCTCTGGCCCATGTTCTAGAGCTGAGTGCTGAGCTTGTCTGTCTTTCTCATGGATGCCGCGTCGGCTACTCTTCACCACAGACTTTAGCAGATCAGGTAAATTAAATGTCTATGACTTGAAACACTAAAAAATCTTAGTTATTTTTGACACTTACTTTTAGTCAATATGATAGTATATTGTAAGGATGACAGATCATCATTTTAAAATAAACTCTTGTCTTTTAAGTACTTCTTACAATGTAAGTACATTTAAATGATGAATTTATAATTTTCTTTTTGATCTAAGAATTCCATTGAATTTTTAAAATAAAGATCACTTATGCATCACTTTTTTTCTTTACTTTATAGTCCTCAAAAATAAAAAAAGGAAGTAAAGGGGATACCTCCATGTTGAAACCGACACTGATGGCGGCTGTTCCGGTAAGAATTGGCCACTGTTTAATACTGAGCACTAAAAAAGTGTCATCTACAAAATGCTGGTGAAAAGATATTATTGATAAGGTAGTTTATGTAGGATTTATTTCTTACTGGTTAATTGATGTTGCCTAAAGTTCTACAGGATTAACTCAGTCTTGCTTTAGCTTTATTCTTATTTATTAAACACTCAACTCAGTTTTAGCTTTCATATGAAGTGATCAGCTCCTTTTTCTAAATAGCTTCTTATTAAAATAAAAATCATTTTCATGATAACTGTTTGCTGATTTAAAGAAACTGAAAGCCCGAAAGCCCAGCAGGAGATAGCAGGAAAGGTTTGAGGTAACCTCCTTCTAAGCAAATTACGTGATTACCTCCTCAGTCCTCAGGGAAAGTCTGGCCTACACATCAGCAAAAGTGACAGGGAAGCTGGAGAAATTCTGAGCTGTGTGAGAAGTGCTGTGCACTTGCTATCACGGATGGGGCCTTCAAATAGGATAATAGAATGGGGACAGCTTCTCCTAAAGGGCTTTCTGAGTTTGCTTGAGTGTTCAGAATTACTGTCAGATACTTGAGTGCTTATATCAAGAATAATTACGTAGTTACTCCAAAGTCAAATATAAATGATCAGTGGTTTTAGAACTTTTATAATTATAGTTGCCTAAGTAGTATCCTACTTTAAATTTTTAGTTGACTTAAAAATTACTTAAGATTTAAAATTGTAAGGGAAAAATTATTTTAAATCATTAACGTCTACCTCATAAGAGTGGACCTAGCAAACAAAATGCAGTGCTGGCAAGCAAAATTCCCTGGATACAGGATTAAAAGACAAACAGCCCAACAAAAACCCCCAAAATTCTTGTGTTCCTTTTGTAAGCAAAGAATGTGGTACTCTGCATATTTATAAGATAAAGTTAGGAGATTAAAAGAAAAACATTTTATGTAGTTCATTTATTTTTTGAATTTAGTTTTTAGATCAGAATAAATAAGGTAAATAACGTAATATAAAGGATCAATAATGGTACATTCCCTGCCCTGAAGCTTTTGTTTGTCTTTTTTCTCGCTATTCTGAGATACTATTCTAGATGCTCAAAACTGGCATTTACAGAAACCTTGTTTTTAAAACTAACTGTGTTTTTGTATTGAAACTTTTGTCCTTTTAAAAGGCTACGTCTTTTAAAATACCTTAACTTTGATAGAAGTATTAATCTGTTGAGAATTGAAGGTGTAAAGCAGCTGATACCATCATTAACTATATCAACTCATTTTCAAATACCAAGGAAATCATGGATCGAATCTATAAAAATGTCATGAATAAAGTGAATGAAATGAGCAGTTTTCAACGCAATCTGTTTATTTTGGCCTATAATTACAAAATGGAACAGATCTCAAAAGGACGCAGTACTCCACTGTGTGATAGGTAAGCCAGGGCTCCTCCTTTCTCTCCTTTGGTAATTTAATAATTTAGTTCACATTAATAGCTCAGTTAATTGAGAAAATTAGAAGAAATTTATTTAAAAGATCAATGAATACTGAATGGTGATTGTATACTGGTTTTGGAGAGTCTATTAATTTTTTTTTTTTTTTGAATGGTTTCCTTTTAGTTTTCACTTTTTCAAAGGTTATTTTTTGATCAGAGGAGTGTGCAGACTTTTTATTAGTGTATTTTTAGATGCATATCAATTAGATGTCTAAATTGTTTTCTTTTTTAAAAATGCCTCATAGATGATTTATTAGATTTTTTAAAAATGATAAACACTTCAAAACTTGAATTAGTGAAACTTCAGAAATAGCTAGATTGCTGTATATAAATATGTATGCATTTCTCATGAAGTTAGTTAAAGCAAAGTATTTGATTTTTATACATTTTAAAAGATGTATATTTTAAAGAGTATTGTTCAGTATTAATATAATATGTATTATATTAATTATATATTTGGTATGTAAATAATGATATAAGACTCATTGCTCTGGCCAGAAGCAAAGGGTTTTCCATCACTATACAAAATTAAACCTGACAGTGTCTAATTTAAATATTATTTATTTATTTATTTATTTGAGGCTGAGTCTTACTCTGTTACCTGGGCTACTCACTACAACCTCAAATTTCCAGACTCAAGTGCTTCTCCTGCCTCTGTCTCCTGAGTAGCTGGGACTACTGCTGTGCGCCACCATTCCCGGCTATTTTGCTATATTTTGTAGAGATTTAGTCTTGCTCTTGCTCAGGCTGGTCTTGAACTCCTAGTCTCAAGTTTTTTCCCACTCCCCCCAATCTCCTAGAGTGTTAGGGTTGCAGGCATAAGTGCTGTGCCTTGCCTTAAAAAGTTCTTGAGAGGAAACTATATACTTTTTACCTTGCTGAAATTCTGAAAATTAATTTTTAAGTAGTGGATCAAGAGAATCTTCCAAATGGGTAATAAGACCTTGGATAAGTAACTTAATCTCAAAATCTTGTATATAAAAATAGGAAGATGAATTTAAATGATCCCATTTAGTTGTTTTTTTTTTTTGAGACAGAGTCTCACTTTGTCACCCTCAGTAGAGTGCTGTGGTGTCACAGCTCAGCAGTCTCCAGCTGTCTTGGGCTTAGGCGATTCTCTTGCTTCAGCCTCCTGAGTTGCTGGGACTACAGGCGCCCACCACAACGCCGGGCTATTTTTTGTTGCAGTTTGGCTGGGGCTGAGTTCGAACCTGCCAGCCTCAGTATATGGGGCCCATGCCCTACTCAGTGAGCCACAGGCACCACCCCCCATTTAGTTTTAAAGTCCTGTGATTCTCTGATCAATTTTCTTTCTCTTTAGTTTTGTTTTCCGGAAAGTTCGAAGCTTGCTGGGTGGAAATATCCGGCTTCTCTTGTGTGGTGGTGCTCCCCTTTCTGCAACCACGCAGCGATTCATGAATATCTGTTTTTGCTGTCCCGTTGGCCAGGGATATGGACTTACGGAATCTGCTGGGGCTGGAACAATTACAGAAGGTTAGTGTTGTTCATGAAGTGGAGTGTCCGTGGGAGGTGGAGTGCAATTCCAGGCATTTTTGTGTTAATGCACTTTTTATCTGCAGATATATAGGAAAAGAGTAATTAAGATGTTTGTGTAGCAGAATAATGGCTAATTCCAGGTACTATGATTATTGATAACAATTTTTAGAGTGTATTTGGTATATCTGTGGTCAATTATTTATCTAGAGGAGCTTTTTACATTAAACTATATCATGAAGTATCAAAAACTTTAGTATTCTAGAAGAGAAGCTTTAGTAACAAGCATTGGCTATTTTATATACATTTCATTTTCTCATATTAGTTATTACATTTTATGTAGAAAAATTTTGTCTAGTTGTGTAGGGGATCTGTGTAAGTATGGAGAGAAACTAGATTCAGGTCTAGAGAATATTACTGCCAGAGTTTATCATGGCGATGTGGTTGCGGAGAGTATTCACCACCTAATCAGTGATTTCCAGATGAATTCCATGGTTTACAGAAGTTATTTTGCTCTCCACTCCTAGCTAACGCTGTGCTTCTCCTACTTGTATTTTCTAAATACTGTAGATGCTAAACTTCTCAAGCGGCCAGTTTCTTTTGAGTACTTCTGCGCACCATTCTTATGCCAGGTTTACTTTGGATGACTTTTTAATTTTTCTGCTTTTCAGTTATGTTCTCTATGTTTTATATATTTTCGGAAGCCACTTCTAAGTCTTGTTTTGCAGGAAATTAACAAGCAAGCTTAAATACATGTATATGATTTCTTCTGAGGATTCTTAATTTTTTCTATTTTTAAGATTCAAATTGAATGTGTGATTAATTACTAACAGTTTGTTTTAAATGCAACAATCTTTAAAGTGTTCAATATCAGCCTTTCATTTTTGACAATCAAATGATATTTGAAGAGCAAATATAATGCAGTAGTAATTATAACAGTGGAGGGTTCTTCCTCAGATCCTTGAGAGTCAACAGTCTCCAATCGGATTCTGAGCTGTTACTGTATTACTTAATTTTAAATAGGGTGTGATAGCGTTAGCTGATATGAGGGGGCTGCAGGGATCTTTCTTTGAACTGAGAGGCTTTTCTGTACTGCAGAGCTGTGGGGCCTGATAAGTAGAATAGGTGTAAACCATTGTGCCCGTCATCTTCTACGGCAGGGACTTAGGAGCAAGGAAGCTACTTGAATGGCTGCAGTGGCCCTGATGTCAGGACATGTGGTGGTAGGGATTCCAGGGAGCTGGGGCAGCACCCCCTATCGCACCGGGGCTGGCAGTTACTGCTATACCTAAAATGTTGTTCCATCTTTGCTGGAGAGTTCACATTTATATGTACAATTTCCTGATTTTTAAAAATGGTAATAATTTGGTTTAAAAAAAAACTCAGCATGGGTTAACCAGTACGATTATTCAGTTTACCAGTTTGTGACTTTTCTAAAGGATTCTTTGGGGATATCTGAGTTTTGAGATAAATCATCAATTTTGGTAATTTAGAAAAATGAAGCAATTTATTAACTGCTGTTCTCAAATGCTTCTTCTTTTTTTTTTTTAACCTATTTATATCTTAGTGTGGGACTACAATACTGGCAGAGTGGGAGCACCATTAGTTTGCTGTGAAATCAAATTAAAGAACTGGGAGGAAGGTAAATTTAACCACAGCGTTTTTACAATATTGAACCTGAAACTTAGACTTGTACTTCATTTCCTTCCTTATCTTATTTTGGAATATAAACACAAGTGTTCACGTCTGTGCTTTATAAGGGATATTTTTTAGCTAGACTACATGAATGCATTTGTTTTGTTTGTTTCAAAAATTAGTTCTGAGGAATAATAGTGTTTTTATTTCGCCTATTATTTTATTATATAAATGCAAATAAGAATTGTGGCAAAAACTTGAGAAATGTGCCAAATGAACAATGTCAGTAAGTTAGGAGTGATCATAAGTTTATTTTGTAGAAACAAAACTATAAAATTTATTCTCTGAGGCTGAGGATTTTTCCATGTTTTTCCTTTTCCCTGAGAGGGGATGGTCAGACGGAAATTTTCATAACTTTGTAGAAGTCTGTTGTTTATGTCATTTAAAATACTAATCACTTTAAAAAATTCATTTTCTCCTATTAAAATGTACAAATTAATATCTATGATTTATTGGGATGTACCTTTCCTCTATACAGAGTAAAGATTTGAAGGCTCAAATGCCATTTTCAGCTGTCTTTACTAGCGTTAGTGAAAATGTTCAATAAAGTTAAGCTTGGAGTCATTCTGAAAATTATCTGTAAGAATAAATAGTTATTTGCTTTTATACAGATTTGTTCTAAATGATGACTTAATGCTTTGTGAGTTTATTATTAAATGATATTTAAACTCTATGTAATCTTTCCAGCAGTTTACCTCTCCACTATTTGTAATTATTTTATGTAACATGTGGAGGATGTGGTGGTGGTTGTTGTTTTTTCAGTATTGCTCTCTCTGACGCAGGCTGGAGTGCAGTGGTGGGATTCTAGCCTCACTACAGCCTCCAACTCCTGGGCTCGGGTAGTTTCCTGTCTCAGCCTCCGGAGGAGCTGGGCTCTAGCATGTACCATTACCATGCCCAGCTAATTTTTTATAGAAACAGGGTCTCATTCTATTGCCCATGTTTGTCTTGAAGTCTTCACCTCAAGCAATATTCTTGCCTCAGCCTCCCAAAGTTCTGTGATTACAGGTTTGAGCCACATGCCCAGTCAGATGTTAGAGTATGATTTTCTTCTTGGAATAGTAACTTAAAAGCATAAATGCATATGGTTAAGAAACAAATTTTGCACCCAGTTTTAAATTGATAAACGTTGTTCATTCATAGTGTCTGCATTCCTCCTTTGGGAAGCTCTCATTGGATAGAATAAGATGTTCTTACTTAGAAACTAATAGTTTCAAATTTTTATGTGTTGAATATTGGTTATAAAATTATTCTTTACTAGGTGGATACTTTAATACTGATAAACCGCACCCTAGAGGTGAAATTCTTATTGGTGGCCAAAATGTGACAATGGGATATTACAAAAATGAAGCAAAAACAAAAACTGATTTCTTTGAAGATGAAAATGGACAGAGGTGGCTCTGCACTGGAGATATTGGAGAGTTTGACCCCGATGGTTGTTTAAAAATTATTGGTGAGCCATCTGATTTTTTTGAAAGTGAATGTTTCTTAAATAGTTTTATGTCAGAGGTACAATGTATTTAGAGAAGATGATGTAAGAATATGTCTTCATGTAATGTTGGTGTAGGCTATTGCATCATTAAGGGAAACAATTTTTTTTATTTTTTAAATTTTGAATATAAATTTTTTAATATGAACTATAGAATTTGAGGCTTGACGTGAGTTCTCAAAAAATGGTTCAACAACAGTGATATTTTAAATTACTCTTAGATAACGCTTAGTTGTTTTGTCTAGCTTGCTTAGGAAATACTCATTTTTGTGAATTCTTTGATACCTGGAGATTTTTGGATGGGGCTCTCCTGTCCAGACTGTGCCCTTACCTTGCCCGAGAGAATGAAGAAAAGCCAGGCAGCTACACACTGCGCATGTGGGTGGGAAACGCCCTCTCCCCTGTGCGCCAGTTAATGGCATTCTGTCCTGCTCCTGCGACCTAGAAACCTGGGAAGAGGGGCGAGGCTTTCCTCCTTAGTCAGCCCCCCACACCTATTTCATATTCTACTGACTTCTCTTACCAGATTCCTCAAATTCTACTTCTCTGTTTTTCTCTGTCCTGCTTGCCACGATTGTAGGTCAGATCTGAACCTCCTGCACCCTCTTGTGAGAAATTCACCTCAGGTCCATGCTTGCTGCCAGTTAAACTCTGGCTTCTACCATGTGATAACTAACTACTGATCTTCCTGGGTCACTTTCTCACTGTAAACCTTGTAATGGCTCCTGCAAGCTCAGTCCTGATGCCTCTGTTACGTGGCCACTGTGCACATCTCCACCATCTCCAGTTGTTTTCCTTTTCTCTACTCTGCGGAGAGTCTGGCTGACCTGGTTCTGGCCTTTGTCAGTGCGGGCTGCCTCGGGCTGCCTCTCCCCTTCACGTGCCGCGAGGGGCTTACTTGTAGGAATTCCTTTTGAGTCCAGCTGGGAGAGTCCTAACAGTTAGCACTGCTGTGTTGTATTGCAGTAATGTGTTTTGAATTATGCATCTCTCCGGATAGAATGTGACCTTTCAGGTGGCCTCGGATATCTTCTTCACCTGCCTGGTATTAATGGACTCCAGGATCATACCTCTTCAGCAGATGCTAGGGCTCCTTACAGAGAAGTGAATTGTTTTACTTTTAAGAGAATGTGTTTAAAAAAATTAAGGCCTAATTTTATTACATACTTTTAATTTTAGCATAACTGTTGATGCTTAATTTAGCAAAGTTTTAAATAATTTGATAGCGAGTCCTTTAGGGAATGGCCAGTATTTATGTGTTAAAGGTGTTATTAATATGGACTGTTTAAAACAGAATTCACACAGTTCTCAGTGTTTTCCCTTCCCCATCTTATTTTTGCACAGATCGTAAAAAGGACCTTGTAAAACTACAAGCAGGAGAGTATGTTTCTCTTGGGAAAGTAGAGGCAGCTTTGAAGAATCTTCCACTAATAGATAACATTTGTGCATATGCAAATAGGTAAGAAAGTGGAATTCTACTGTGAACCTTCTCTGTAAAATTATCCCAAGAACTCTGCCCTGTTTCTGTTACCTCTGGGATCAGACTCCTCGTTACAGCCATTGGCTGATCCTTCCCTTGCAGTCCTTCCCCTCATCATCTTTCTGTGTGCCCCTGTTCTCTGCTTTACATCTCACTGGAGGGTCGTATGTGGTTGGCAGGTAAAGGAAATAAATCTTCCTTTTCCACTGCTTTGAGACCCCTACCTGTCAGTCTCTCTGCCTGGGAAGCTTCACAGAGCCACTCCGGAGGAAAGGGAATAAGAAATGTCAGTGCTTAACTTACCTGCTCTAAACTTGAGTCTCCTCAGGACCCTGGGAGGGCTGGGGGCTCCCCCCTTAAGCTATGTTACACTGTGGCTTAATAGATAGCATCCCTAGCCATGATGGCACAGAGGCAGCTGAGAACCTGTGTATGGCAACTGACAGAATTATTATGGGAAAAGAAAGTCTGGGGTATCAGAAAAACTAATTTAGAAACAGAATTTTGAGTATAGCCCAAGTTCAAGATGAACTACATTGATTTATAAAGGATTCTGCCCTTTAGTTAGCCGTTTTGTATTTTCTTTAGTGATAGTACAGTTCTGGATTATACTTACATCATGGTGACCAGAACTGTCATTCTCCTCCTGTGCACCTGCCATTCCTTTGAGTTATTGTTCTATGGTCTTGAAAAGACTGTCTGCCTTTGTCATGCACGTTCAGTGCTTCATGATCATAGAAGCAAAAATGAATAATCACATTATTTTGATTTGCTGCCAGCTTTCTTTAGATAAAGTTGGTAATTTTGTTTTAGTTTTGTTTAACTTGTTGCCATAAATTACTGATTTTACAAAAGATGAATTTTCTGATATTTCTAAGTTTTTTAAAAAAATGTGCACATGACGCTGTTCATAATGGGCGTTCTTGAAATTTATTATGATGTGTTAGAATGAGGTTTATTTAGCAATGAACTCTGCCAAAGCAGTGGAACATGTTATGAATCAGACAGTAAACTAGCTTTTGCATGAAGTAAGTATGCCAGGACCAAGGGTGGCATGTGTATTTTTTGAAAATAGTGAAGCGTTAATTCCTACCTGTCACTGTAATCAGTAACTGCAGTTAAAACACAGTGTACCATCTTGTTTCTTAACCAAGTTGTACTTTGTATATTTCAGTTATCATTCTTACGTCATCGGATTTGTCGTGCCAAATCAAAAGGAGCTAACAGAACTAGCTCGAAGGAAAGGACTTAAAGGGACTTGGGAGGAGCTGTGTAACAGCTGTGAAATGGAAAATGAAGTGCTGAAAGTACTTTCTGAAGCTGCTATTTCAGGTGAGTGTTCTGTTAACTGATTCCAGCGACTGAGATGGGATGATAGTAGTTCTATCCATTTAACCTGTTATAAGGCTTGGGGCATATCATTTCCTGCTCAGTCATCATTTCTACTGTAGATGGAAGAACATATCCTTGTCCATTCCCCATTCAGACCCCTCTGTAGGGAACACAAGTCACCCGCTCCCTGTGGACTGAAGTGTGTGTGCACTGACTGTTCTTGTCTCTGTAGCTTTTACTCCTTTCCTTACTTCAGCTGTTCCTTAAGGCCCTGCTCACTTCCCCAGTCTCACTGGCCTGGAGGGAATGGTCCAGAACTCTTTTGGAACTTCATACCATGTTAGTGTACTGGAAATTGATTGTACTGATGTCCTATACTTAGTTTTTCTTTTGGTCCGAGACTAGTTTAATATTATTGCTTTACTAAAAACAGTAGTGTCTTCTGAGTTATCAGCGTTAAGTATAGTGCAGGTGTGCATTATTATTCTACTGGGTATGTCATACAAGGTTATGAAAAACATAAGTTTACATTTTAAGCAAATGTTTCTTTATTTCAACATTAATTATATTTTGTGGTATGTCAGTTTGAAGATAGTTTCTAGCATTTTTAGGTAGCTTAAAACCTTAGACTGATGCTAAAATTGATTTAATTAATGGATATTTGTTAGAAACCTACATCATTTCTAAATAAGGTAGAATTCTGAAAGACAGATAAACATAATTTTATGTTCATATTCTTATCTGCTTATTTTATTTTTGTATATATTGCAACAGCTGTTTTGAGATAATTAGTATACTGTAGAACTCTTCCATTTAATGTGTGTATACAGTTAAACGGCTTGTAATGCAGGGTGGCCATAAAGTAGACAACTAGTTTACATTGCACATGAACTTTGTGTCCACTCTGTATGTTTACCAGGTTGTACAGCCAGCACCACAGTCATTTTGTAACACGGCCCCATCCCCTTAGCAGCCACTCACCCTTCTCTCCTAAACCCCTTGTTCCTCAGCACCCACTGATTAAAGTCAATAGATTAGATTAGATTAGATTAGATTTGCCTCCTCTGCAGATCGTGAGCAAGGGGCGCCAACAGAGCCTTTTGACTTGAGGCTGCCTTTTTTCACTTAGCGTGTTTTCAAGTTCACCTGTGTCGTAGTGTATCAGTGCTTCCTTCTTACTGCTGTGATATGGATGTATGCCGTATTTTGTTTATGTTCATCGTTGATGGACACTGTTTCCGCTTTTGGCTATTAAGAGTAATATGGCTGTGAGCAACGTGTATAAGTTTTTGTGTGGGCGTGTGCTTGCATCTTTAGTAGAGAAACCAAATTAATGGTCATGTCTTAACTTATATTGAAATTTCTGAAGAACAGCTAGACTGTTTTTCAAAGTATTTTTTTTCTGAACATTTTCTAAAATGGCAGCATTATATTTTACATTCTTACCGTTGACAGCTGAGGGCTCCAGTTTCCCACGTCCTAGCGGCTCTGGAGTAACATCTTACTGTGGTTTGATTTATGTTTCCCTGCAGGCTGAGGATGTTGAGCAAAGATTCTTGTGCTTATGGGGTTCTGTTGATCTTTCTTTAGAAGATGTCTATTCACATCCTTTCCCCATTTTTTAATAGTGTTACTTGTCTGTATATTATTGAGTTGCATGAGTTCTTCGTATATTCTTGTTATAAGTCCATTATCAGTTAGGTGATTTGCAAACACAGCTGGCCCTTTGTATTGTGGGCTCCACATTCGTGTATTCAACCAACTACAGATCAAAAATATTTGGAAAACACAATATAACAGTAAAAAAGTAAAAATGGAAACCAGTAATGACAACTATTTACATAGCACTTACATTTTGTCAGATACTGTAAGTAACCTAGATGATTTAAAGCATACAAGTGGACGTGTGTAGGTTATCTGCAGATACTAGTTTCCACGGGAATCCTGAACCCAGCCCTGCAGTTACTGAGGGATGACTGTATTTTCTCCTATTCTACACATCGTCTTTCTACTTTCTTGATGGTGTTTTTTGAAGCACAAAAGTTTTTAATTTTTATGACATATTTTGGTCCCATTCTCATTTCTTTCTGTGTATATTCTATAGCTATTTTCTTTAACCAATGCAATTATACAAACATCTTAAAGTTATAATAATTTCTTTTAAACTGACACCAGCTTAACTTCTGTGTAATATAAAAAGTCTATTCCTTTATATTCTTGCCCCTTTATTTTATTGATTATACTTCTTTATTGTATATCCATTAACACAGATTTATAATTACTTCTCATGCGTTCTTTAAATTCTATATCAGATTTGAATGTGATTTATGCATCTACATTACTTCAGAATTCTCTTTTGCCTATGAATTTACCTTTCCTGAGTAGTTTTATAATTTCTTATGGTTTTATATTACTGTTGATTGTCCTTTTGCGTCAACTTGAATGACTCCCTTCAACAATTTTTGTAGGGAAGATCTAGTAGATCTAGTAGTGATAATCCCCCTTATGTTTGTCAGGGAAAATCTTAATTTTTCCATCATTTTTGATGGACAGGTTTAGGTTATAGCATTCTTCCTTGGTGGTTTTTTGTGGTTTCTAAAATTTTCTTTTAGTATTTGGAATATATCATCCCACTCCTTCCTAATCTTGGGGCTTCCTGCTGATAGTTCAGTGGGAGCTCTTCAGATGTGATGAGTTATTTTTCTTTAGTACCTTTCAGGATTTGGGGGAGCTTTTGTCAATTTGATTATGAATGTGTCTTGGTGGATTCTATTTAAATTTATCCTAGTAGAGATCTTTGAGCTTTTTGAATTGTTACTTACATTTCTCTCCTCAGATGTAGGAAGAATTAGGCTATAATTCCTCCAAATAGGCTCTCTGCCCCTTCTCTTTCTTCTCCTGGAATTCCTATAATAAAAGTTTTATCTACTTGATGGTGTCCTGTAGGTTTCTTAGGCCTCTCTTTATTTTTTTCATTTTTTTTTCTTTTTGTTCTCCTGCCTCAGTAATTTCAATCTTTTGAGTTTGTGGATTCTGTCTCTCCACTTGATTCTCTGGTGAATTTTTCAATTCATTTTATGTATTCCTTAGTTCCAAAATTTGTTTTGCTTCTTTGTTTTCTTTTAAATTTATCAGTATTTTCATTTTGTTCATGTACTATTTTTCTGAGTTTGTGTCTTTACTCTCTTTTAATTTGTTGAATATCTTTATGACTTATTTTGAATTTCATAGGTATCTCCATTTATTTGAGGTTGGTTTTTGAAGACTGGATTTTTTGACAGGCCATCTCTTCTGTTTCATTGTACATCTTCTTCTTTGTTGGGACCTTGGCATTTGAAACATCGGCTACCTTTCTCAGTCTTTGCAGGCTGGTTTTGTATTGGGAAGTGAGTACTGACAGGTTCTGGAGCCATTGCAAGTCTTTCCTGAGGATGTATCCTCTGGGTTTGCGGGTGTAATCTAATTGTAGAGGTTTGCAGTTTCAACTCAGAAGTTCCCCCTGGTGCCCTTGGTTCTGTGGCTTCATTGGTAGTGTAGTGAGCCATAGTCCTGGAGTGTCCTCTAGTGTCTGTTTTTGATATTGCAGCCTCCAACCTGGTGCTCTATTCCTTTTAGTGATTTAAATACAGGAGGTAGCTCAGTGTTTACAGTGCCAGCCACATACACCGAGGCTGGCGGGTTCCGACCTGGCCCAGGCCAGCTAAAACAACAATGACAACTACAACAACAACAAAAAATAGCTTGGCGTTGTGATGGGCACCTGTGGTCCCAGCTACTTGGGAGGCTGAAGCAAGAGAATCGCTTAATCCCAAGAGTTTAAGGTTCCTGTGAGCTGTGACACCACAGCACTCTACCCAGGGCGACAGTAAAAAAAAGTTATAAACCCTAGAAAGCAGAATAAACTCATATCCCAGAAGGCAGAATAAACTCGTACCCCAGAAGGCAGAATATTGGGTGTATGTTCCGCTCCTCTTCTTCTCCAGGGGGTAGTCGCAGTTTGGGTTTTCCTCCCTGTGGCTCTGCATTGTGCTGAGGGGAGGGGCTCTAGCAAGTTAAATGCTGCGTATTTTCCTACCAGCCTTTGATGCAGTTGGTTTCACTCGCCTGGAGTGCAGAGACCGCTGAACTGGTTTCTAAGTTTCTGACACAGGGAATAAATAGGTCTGTATATTTGTTAACAAATCTATTTTGTTAAATAGATTTTAACAATCTATTTAAAGTGTCTGTGGGGGAACGAGGGACTGGGTTTTCCTTTTCTGATTTCTCCTTGGCCCCTTTCTCTTGTATACTATCTGTGGGCAGGTGTCTGCCTGTGTTTTTTTTCAGATTGTATGCCATCTGAGAGCAGCAACTATTCATTTTTGTACTTGGAAAATAATGTATAGTAGAGTGCTGTCACATAGTAAGTTTTTTCAATAAGTATTTGTTGAATGAATGCCTGAAAAATAAATCAGTCTTACTAAGGACAGATGCTTTTTCAAAACTACATCTTCCTCTAACCTCCCTCAGATGCTCACTTTTCCTCCACTGGTCTGTTCTTACCAATCTACTTGGTATTGGGCAGTGTTCTACGAACATGGTATTGACTAAGCATCCTATCTTTACTCTTGATAGGATTCTCTTTAAATTTTATTTTTTTAAATTTCTGAAGTAATTATACTCTTTATGGTAAATTCAAGGAAAACAAATAGGTGTAAAGGAAAAAAGCAGGTTTTCTTTTTGCCTTCTCCTGGCTCCCAGTCCCTAGTGGTGCACAGTTTATAGCTCTGTGTGTGCTCCTCGTCCAGGGCATTGAGATGAGTGTAGATTATCCAGCCTGTGCTGTAACTGCAGGGTACAGCCCTGCACTGTGTGATGACATTCTGATCAGTAACGGGCGGCATTTAGGACAGTGGTCACATAAGGTTAGAATACCATATTGGTACTGTACCCTTTCTGTACTTAGGTAGGTTTAGATAGCACAAGTACCGTGTGTTGTTATTGCCTACAGCATTTAGCAGAGTAACTGTTGTGCAGGTTGGCAGCCTGGGAGCCACAGCTGGGCTCTGGGCCTAGAGGATAGTAGGCTGCCATCTCAGTTGGGGGATGTGCACTGTAGTGCTTGCATGATGACAAAAGTTGCCTACCAACACATTGGTCAGAATATATTTCTTGTCATTAAGCATTACATGACTCTATTAGATATCCATATAAATTTAACTCACTTTTAATGACAGAATTATATTCCATTTTATGCCGATTTTGTTTAACTCACTCTCCTATTGGTGGGAATCTTAAAATAGACTTTTGCTGTTGTAATTCTGTTCCATACTTTTCTTTACCTTATATTGGTACTTTTGAGGGACAGATTGCTTGAGTGAGATTCACGGACATTGAATTGCATTACGCATTGATTATGCATTTTGATGGGTACCTGGAGATTGCAAGGTTACACTGTATTTACTAATTGCACACTTTTAATATTCCCCTCCCCTTTTTTTTAAATCATTTTAGCAAGTCTGGAAAAGTTTGAAATTCCAGTAAAAATTCGTTTGAGCCCTGAACCATGGACCCCTGAAACTGGTCTGGTGACAGATGCCTTCAAGCTGAAACGCAAAGAGCTGAAAACACATTACCAGGCGGACATTGAGAGAATGTATGGAAGAAAGTAATTGTTTTCTTTTTGGCATCGGTTTGCTACAGTGAGCTCAGATCAAATAGGAAAATACTTGAAATGCCTGTCTCAAACTGTGAGGCAAACTTCATTCTTCACATTAAATCTAAACTGTTATTTCTCATGGCATCACCGTTTTTAACTGACAGGATTAGTAAAATATTAAGACGGCAAACTGGCGTCTGTCTGTTCTTTCTTTTCCCCTCCTCCAGTTTAGTTTCCCACCTGTGACTGTATTTGTCAGTATGAGAATTTTTCTGAATCATATTGGGGGAGCAGTGATTTTAAAACCTCCAGTTTTTAAACATGATTTATATGTTCTGTATAATGTTCAGTTTGTAACTTTTTAAAGTTTGGATGTATAGAGGGATAAATAGGAAATATAAGAATTGGTTATTGGGGGGCTTTTTTACTTAACTGTATTTAATAATACAAGGGTATTGATGTGAAATTATGTAAATTTCAAATGCTTATGAATCAAATCATTGTTGAACAAAAGATTTGTTGCTGTGTAATTACTGTCTTGTATGCATTTGAGAGAAATAAATATACCCGTATGTATGTTTTAAGAAATTGAGGTCTTGTGAATATATGCCTGTCAGTGTCTTCTTTATATATTTATTTTTTATTAGGAAAAAAAAGAAATTTGGTTGGTGCTGCATGAAACAAAATAGGATTAGAGGGTTATGGTTTAATAGTAAGGAAATAAACACAGCAAATGTAGCACCAATTGGCAACTAGTCTTCGGTAGCTTACTCAGAATGTTCAGTGTCTTCTAGAAAAATATCTAAATAAATTTAAATGAAAGCAATTCTCAAAGGTAGGGTAGAATTTTAAAAACAAATGTTAGAAAGTTATTCTTTGTTTCATTGACCATATGTACCTTAGGTTGTCTATATGAACTCAGTCATGGAAAATTATTCTACTCCAAATTCTGTTCTACTTTTAGTCCAGATATTTAATCATATGTATCATTTCAAAATAAAGATTTTTTTGTATAGTTTACACTTAGTGGAATTTTGTGTGTGTATGGGTCTGAGGGAGGAAGAGGAATGATGAGTGGTAGCTTATTAAAAAAGCACCTTATTCTTTCTACACTAGAAAATGAGATAATTTCGAATGTGTTTAATACTGGAGTTCTCACTAAGACACATGAGAATTTAACTAACTTTACCGTGAGGTGATTTAAGATTTAATTTGTAGGTTTTTAAGTCAGTGTAGAAGTTATTTGTGATTAAAAAACATTGCTTGTCTGATACATAGTAAGTCTTTTCATATGTATTGCTTGTCTGCTATTTCTGGATTATCAAGAATAGTATTGATCCAATTAAGATGTGCTTAAATCAGGACTTAAAAAGTCACAGGCACTGCATTTTTTCATTTTAAACGAGTTATTTTCTTGATTCTTCGTTACTTTAGGGATCAAAGGCAAATACACACACACACACACACACGTGAAATGATAACAAACATAGGTGTGGGCGAGATAGTGGGATGCCGAGAGGAGCCAGGACCCTGTAGGTTTTGGTCATATCACGAACATTGTATCTGGAGATGTTGCAATATGGTGTTTATTTTGTGTTCAACTTTAATTGTATCTTTGTATTATGTTTTGAATGCTTTTCTCCTTGTAATAGTTGAAATTTTAATGGGATAATTGCTAAAAAAATATGAAAGAAAGTAAATGGAACTTCACTATATCAGGATACTGTGATCTAGAAGTTAAATCAGAGTAGGCGGAGAGAATTTGTTTCTGATGCTCTGTCTTTGCAATAATTGTTTGCTTTCAGTTGATTTTAAAAGATTGTATTTAGAAAAAAAAAAAAGCTTTAATGCTTCATAGGAGAGATGCTGATAATTGTGATGTGAAGTAGTGTCAGATGAAAATGTAGCTTTTCACCAGTTCAGAATCAAAGTTGTTTCTTTTCAGAACGGTCTAGTGGGGCTGTTTCAGTCTCATGCTTTCCGCTTTCTCACATGATGACAGTTTGTAATTCATTTCATTCCTAAAAGGGCAGATGCCCGGTGTCAAAGGGCACAGTACAACGTGAAATCGAGTAAGTAGAGTCCCATTTCAGACAGATTTCTCTCTAAGCTAAAAATGTTCAGTGACTTAACAAAAAAACCTTTAATATACTTTCAAGAAGAAAAAATTGTTTAATAAAGAAAACCATGCAACAATTATAGTTATGTTGTGTACGAAGCAACTGGTTTAACCAAAAGATACCTGGGAAGGAAAACCTTAAGGAATTTCAAGGTAAATTACTAAATCTCATATGTATACCTGAAGATAGGATATGGATCCTAACAGGATGGTTCCTAAGAATTACTGTTTTCTGGAACTAACCTATATGAAAAATCCCTAAGCATTTCATATTATAGTAAGTTTAACAGTTTATAGCATGTAGACTGGGCAGCCCCCCATCCCTCCTTCCGTCTTCCCCACTGATATTTATTGTAACTTAAATATCATTTCAAAAGTTTTTGCTGATCCAGGAAAAAAAAAAAAAACAAAACTGAAAGAGGTATCTACTTTCTAAATACTATTTTGCTTTTAAGTAGCGAAGTTTATATCTCTGACGTTCTCTAAAGGTTGCACTTTTTCCAGCAATATTTAAGAGCAGATTAACCTGAAATAACTTTGTTTGCCACTGAAATACTCAAGATTTTACAGTTTTTAAATAAGTCCCTGTGATACAACTTTAAGTAGTTTTTAAAAAATCTGTGTGGGTTCCCTTTTTAGTAAAAATTTATGTACATCTGTGATGTTGTAAAGGGGGATCCACTTTTAAACTGTACATACTGGACCACGCTGACACGGAATGCATCCTTTCTACACCTAAAATCGGTTTACTGTGAGTTCATTTCCCACGTATTCTTCGTTATTGCTGTTTTCTGCCTGAAAATGTGTATGTCACAAAGAAGCTACAGAGCTATATGGTGTGGCCTATTTTTTTGTAACTTGACATGAAAGTTTGAAGAATAAAGATATGTAAAAAAAAATTCTGATATTAAAACATTTGGTTTTTTTTTCTTTTGTTTGTTTGTTTGTTTGTTTGTTTTTAAAGAAAAGCTCTTCCCATAAAACAAACTTCAATTGACATTTCTGAAATACATGTTGAAAAGGAGTTTGGAGAATTTCCTTCCCTGTCCCTGACCTGACAGTCTGTTTGAAGGGAAATGAGTATTGTTCTGGAAATTCCATCATTAACCTACTTGATTTCCTATCACCCTGAATTCTGACTTTGCAGGACAGCTCTGCTATTAATCCCTTGGGTTTCATTTGTCTACGAAACTGTTGATTACTCCTTTGTATTTGAAGGATATTTTTGCAGGATATAATATTCCATCATTAAGTTTTTTCTTTTCTTTTCTTTTCTTTTCTTTTTTTTTTTTTTGAAACAGATTCTTACCCTATCACCTTGGGTAGAGTGCTGTGGCATCATCATGGCTCACAGCTGCCTTAGCCTCTTGGGCTCATGCTGTCCTCTTGCTTCTACCTCCCTAGTAGTTGGTACTACAGGCACCTGCCACAACACCTGGCTAGTTTTTCTATTTTTGGTAGGGACGGGATGCGGCTCTTGCTCAGGCTGGTCTCAAAGTCCTGAGCTCAAGAGGTTGTCCCGCCTCATTCTCCTAAAGTGGTGGAATTACAGGCGTGAGCCCCTGAGCCTGCCATGGTCTTTCTCCTTTAGCACTTTGAGTAAGTCTTGCCACTCTCTCCTGGCCTGAAGGTTTCTGTTGGGAAGTCTGCTGCCAGCCTTTGTTTTTCAATCTGTGACCTTTGGGAGCATGACTATTATGCTTCAGGGTAGTCTTATGTGGCTTAAATCTATGATCTTCTCATACCTTAATGTTGACTTTTTTCTTCAGGTTTGGAAAGTTCTCTGTTGTTATTTCTTTGAATAAACTTTCTACCCCAATCTCTCTGCCTTCTTTTTAAGGCCAATGACTCTTAGATTTTCCCCTCTGAGGCTAGGCATGCTTGATTCTTCTTTATTTTTTCTTTGCTCTCTTCTGGCTATGTATTTTCAAATAGCCAGTATTTTTTCAAGTTTACTAATTCTTCTGCTTAGTCAATTTTGCTGTTGAGAAGCTGATGCCTTTCTCAGTTTATCTATTCTTAAGCTCCAGAATTTCTGCTTGAGTTTTTTTTTTTTTTTATTATTATTTCAATCTCTTTGTTAAATGTCTCTGGTAGACTTCTGAATTCCTTGTTGGTGTTACCTTGAATTTTATCAAGATTCTGTAGGACAGCTATTTTCGATACTCTGTCTGAAAGGTCACCTGTCTCCACCAGTCCAGGATTGGTCACTGTACCTCACTTAGTTTGGTAAAGTCCTGTCTTCCTGAAGGTTTATCTTAATCTTTACCGTCTGGGCTCTTTGAACCCATCCTTCTGGAGAAGGCTTCCCAGATACTCAAAGGGAGTTGCGTGGTGGTGTCTACATCCTTGGTCCCTGCAGCTGTATCAGTATGGGGGTTGCCCAAACCCAGTAATGCCCTGGCTCTTAGAGACCCCTGGTGGTGCTGCCCTGGTGAGCTTGGGTAAGACATGGAGGAATTCCCTGACTTCAGGGAAAGTTTCTCATTCTCTTCTCTCTCTCTGCTCGGCTGCTGGAGTTGGGAAAGGGGTGGCCTAAGTGCTCCCTCATGGCCACCAGCTCAGTGCCACCCAAAGCCAGTGGTGCTGGTTGCCTGGCTACCTATAATGTTTATTCAAAGCCCAAGGGCCTTTGTGATCAGGTGGTGAATCTTGGCAGGTGCTTCCCGTCAGGGCAGCACCTTTCCTTCTGGCCCAGGTGGGTCCAGAGATGCTGTCTAGGAACTAAGGCCTCCACTAAAGCATTTCCTTAGTCTAGGAACTAAGGCCTCCACTAAAGCATTTCCTTAGTCTAGGAACTAAGGCCTCCA